GGGGCATTTACGGCCTGCAGTAACGGAACTTGAATTTTAACTGGAAGGGCTGTAACAGGAGTTGAAAGGATAATGAGAATAGCCATTCTTTCATGAGTAAAAACGAAATAGTTTATACGATGATTTCACATTCTGCAATACCCCATGTCATAAAGTGATTTAAATCGGAGTATTCCTGCCGATGCGGCCATATGCGAGGTAATAATTCGCATACCTTCGGCATCAATCGATGGCGCCCCACCGGATGGGTTTCGTAGCTGCAAAGCTGCATCTGTAGCGAACACACGTGCCTCTGAGTGTAGCTGTTGATAGGACAATGGCTGCGGCGCTACGTAACGGGACTGTGGAACTTTGCGGTGCTGGGACGGGAGAGTGGTGGGGCCGCGCGAGCAACACAGGCCAAGCTTCGCCTTCTTGCAGGTGCCAAACCCCATCGTCTTCAACTGTCACCCACGACCTTACCTCTTTTTCTCTGGTTAGACTGGCGATTATTCCCACTTCTGCGCTTGCACTAGACGACAGGAATTCGCCTGACGGGAAGAGCAGGAAGAATTAGGACCGAAGCAAGGAAGAAAAAGACGAGGGTTTCGTTCGATATCCCCTGTCGCGCGCCAGCCACATCAACCAGCGTTACCTCGTTACACCCGAACTCGAAGCTTGTTTTTTTCCTAGTCACGACCTACCCCTTCGACCAACTCGATCGAGATTTTTCACGACCAGACTTCCCAGCTCACACCTCTGTCATCCTTGGGGATCAAAAGCATCCTCGACTTCCGATATCCCGTATCGAAGCGACTGAAGCGACACTCCTGTCTATCCCAACCTCGATCCCTATCTATCACCAACCGTCGCGATGCGCTTTGGGAAGACACTGCGGTTGGCCGTGTACGCGCCATGGAAGGACAAGTACATCGACTACGCGAAGCTCAAGTCGCTTCTGCGGGAAGACAAGTACGATGACGAAGATGTTGCGTGGACAGAGGACGACGAGAACCGCTTCTGCGACGAGATTTTCAACGGTCAACTCGAGAAGGTCGCCGCGTTTCAGGAGCAGACCTTCAAGGCTCTGAAAGACCGAGTCGAAGCCGCGTTTGAGAAGCTCAAGGAATTGGCACCGCCGACTAGTGAGGAGGATGAAGGGGCGGAGAACGACCAGGTCAAGAAGCCCGACGCTGCGACGGCGCAGAAGCTGAAGGACATTGAGACGGAGCTCGACAAGATCACGACCGAAATCTCGGAGCTGAAGAAGTACAGCAACATCAACTACACTGGTTTCCTCAAGATCGTCAAGAAACATGACCGCAAGAGGGGCGATAGATACAAGGTGCGACCGATGATGCAGCTGAGCCTGGCGAAACGGCCCTTCAACTCGGAGCAAGGCTACTCGCCCTTGCTCAACAAGCTGTCCATCATGTACTATGCTATTCGGCAGCAGCTGGACGACGGCGCCGGCGATGCGCAGCCACTGGATCTCGAGAGCCAAGGAGAGACGCGGCACGGCGAGCGGTACACCGCCCACAAGTTCTGGGTCCACCCGGATAACCTACTGGAGGTCAAGACGTATATTATGAGACGTCTTCCGGCCCTTGTCTACAGCGAGCAGTCTGCTAAGGAGCTGGATGGGAGCAATGACCCGACCATCACGTCGCTTTATTTTGATAACTCAAAGTTCGATTTGTACGGGAAGAAGGTGGAGCGCAAGGCGGAAGCGTCCTCGCTCCGCGTACGCTGGTATGGCCAGTTGAGTGCGAAGCCTGAGTTGTTCCTCGAACAGAAGATTGTTGGAGAACAAGGATCCAGCGAGGAGCGAAAGTTTCCCATTAAGGACAAGTATATCAAGCCCTTCATCGACGGCACCTACAAGATGGAGAAGACGGTGGAGAAGATGGAGCGTCAGGGCCAGCAGGCAGAGGTGGTTGAGAATTTCAAGAGCACCGTCGAGTCTCTTCAGGGCTTCATGCAAGAGAACAAGCTACAGCCCGTCTTGCGCGCAAACTATGTTCGCACCGCTTTCCAGAAGCCCGCGGACGACCGCGTGCGTATCTCCATCGACACAGAGGTAGCCTTCATCCGGGAGGACACGCTGGACAGAGATAGGCCGTGCCGCGACCCAGCAGAATGGCACCGTCTCGATATTGACGGTCGAAACCTGACGTACCCGTTCAAGGATATCAACCAGAGCGAGGTCTCCCGTTTCCCCTACGCCATTCTGGAGATCAAGCTGAAAGAGGACCCCAACCGTAAGCGCCCTGCGTGGATCACGGACCTGATGGCATCCCACCTGGTGCACCCCACGCCTCGCTTCTCCAAGTTTGTCCACGGCATTGCCTCCTTGTTTGAGGACTTTGTCAACAACCTGCCCTTCTGGTTGAGCGATCTGGAGGCGGACATCCGCAAGGACCCGCAGGTGGCTTTCGAGGCCGAGGAGCAGCGCAAGGCGCAGAGAGCCGAGGACGAGCAGGCCGTCGGCAGCTTTTTGGGCAATAAGGTGAGCTCGTATAAGATATCCAAGAGTTCGCCGGCCGGCCAGTCGTACCTCGCCAACAGAATGGCCGCCGAGAGCTCGCGCTCCCAGTCGAGACCCGTCAACGACGAGTCACAGCAGTCGTCGAGCCGCCAGAACGGCGAGGGCTCCAACGGCCAGCAGAGGAGTTACGGCACGCTCTCGTCCGTGCTCCCCGGCTTCTCTCTGTCCAAGTACTCGCAGGCGCGGAGGGCGCAAAAGAACCAGCAGCAGCTGCCCGAGGGCGTCGTGGAGCCGACCGAGTGGATCAAGAACTCGGGCGAGCTCAAGATTGAGCCCAAGGTGTGGCTGGCCAACGAGCGCACGTTCCTCAAGTGGCAGCACATCTGCATCCTGCTCGGCGCGCTCGCAGTGTCGCTCTACACGGCCGCCGGGGAGAATTTCCTGGCCGAGGTCATGGGCATCGTGTACATCTGCATCGCCGTGTTTGCGGGTATCTGGGGCTACGGTATGATGAGGCTGCGGAGGAAGATGATTATCGGCCGCAGCGGCAAGGATTTCGATAACCTTGTCGGGCCGTTGATTATCAGCATCGCGTTGATGGCTGCGCTGGTGATCAACTTTGTGCTTGCTGTAAGTTCCTCTCTCACCTTCCGTTAGGACTCATGCCAGTGAGATTTCGTGAGCCAAGATACTGACTTGGGGTTTCTAGTACCGCGCCGCTATCGAGAGGATGGAGGCAGCCAAGGGGGTCCTCAACGGCGGTAATGCCACTGGAGAGCCCATCCGACAAGAGCTCATCTAAAGGGGGATGGGGTTTGTGAAGTAAAGTGTGGGGGCAAAAGCGTTGACTGATGGAGCATCTCATGAGATGCTCACTGTTTTCTTTGTAAGCTGTAGTTTGTTTGCGTTTGCATGGTTTGGTTGGTGTGCTGCATTTGGATCGGTGCTCTTTCCTTTTTACTTGGTATTGGTTATGATACCTGTCGACGTTAAGGTAGAAGAAGCGGTGTTGTATGAGATAGATATGGTGCGATAATCGATATTCTGTGTGTATGTTTGTGTCTGTTGTGACTTTTGCGTGGAGTGATGTGAGATGAGATGGAGGGAAGAGAGAAGAGGAAGAGAGAAGAGAGGCTGGTTGTCTTCCCGATGTCGGGCTGTTGTATAGGTTCCGTGTTAGCTCGCGCTTAGAAAGGCTTCCGTCTCGTGTAAGTTCAAGTGAGAGATTCGAAGGCAATGTTTCGAGTTGCGATGCCACACGGAAGCTGCCTTGACTATGCCAGCCAGCTAACTGCTTAGATATCTTAGTGTGTGACATCAGGTACCAGGAAGGGGTTGTATTTGGAGGAAGTATAATGACATGATTTTTCCGGGCTGTGAGATGTCTCCGACGATGCCTATGAAAGCCAGAGACGGAGTCACCACATCTTTCAATCCTCTCATCATTCTCACGCTGCCAGGAGCTTTTTGCTCCGTATTGAGTGCCCGCGCCTTCGCCATGATACCGCACATCCGGCCTCAGTGCCATCATGCTTTTTCAGACACTGACTCTCGCGATACCTGAGGCCACCAATAGCAACGTACAGCAGCGGAGCATCACAAGTTCGTAGGCGAGAGCTCATCGAATACTGCTGTCCGCGTGCTCATTAGCAACGGATTACTAGTGTTTATTCCTAAACAACCCAAATATTTTGACAGCCTCCCTTCTATAGAATGGATTTTGGCCTGGTAAGAGATATCAATCAAGATCAGCCTCGAGCTGGAAAGGACCGTATCCTTGCAGGAATGGTTCTGCGCGGCACACTCTACACAACGCACGCCAGATCCTAGAAAAGTGTTGGTGGGATCTTGCGCGGGACCTCATAAGTTGTAGCCTTCCCGCCATACCGGCAAGAGCAGCCAACGGTACGCCCACATTAGTTTCTAGTCGTCCGTGGAAGCTTATTCAGAAGGGCGGAATACTCGTGGGGTGGAGAGGAGTGGTGAGCAGGATAAGTCTTATATTGATATTGTCCATCTCTTACTAGGAGTTCATACATGATTCGGGGCCTGCAATACAACTATAACATAACATAGGAATTGCCAGATCAACCTCAAGGTTGAGGTCTCTGAACTGCAAAAGGATTTCAGAATTTCTACAACATTCGTACCCTTCGGACCTCAAGGCCCTCTAGGGCTTCTCTATCTTATGTTTCAAGCACGTTCGATGATAAGAAGAAAAGCTCCCTCTGGTGCCTCTTTGCCATTGCAGCCGTTCTATACTTGTCTCGACACACCCATCCATCCATATCTCGCCCCAAACGCCGCGCCCAGCTAGCCCTCGCTCCGCGCCAACGACCCAGTTGATCAGGCTACCTAGGAGAGTACCCGCTGCCTCACCGTACAAAGATCTTCGGCGTTGATAGCCGGAAGGGTGGTGTATTCTCGCGGAGGAGACCGCCAAGGCATATGTCGCGCTTGTGGCGTCGGCAGAGGGAAAATCGTTGCTCGTTCCATATTATCCTGTTCTATCGCTTGCTCCATGACAAATTCTTTAAAAACGAAAATGGTCGGCTATGCTGTCTTGGTTCATCGGAGCAGTAAGGTGCTCCAAGTAGTCGCTTGGGAGGTCCGCAAAGCGAGGGTCTCGGTAGGAAGGGTTTTCATCGTCGCGTGGCGTCACTTGAAATGGAGGATCCTGATTAGGAAACATGTTGAGAGGCATGCCATTCTGCTGCAATTGCGGCGGGCGCTGCTGCAGTTGTCGTTGCCGGTGCTGTTCCTGTTCCTGTTGCATACGTGTCGAGAACTCCTCAGCCTGGATCCTCTCAAGCTGCTGTTGTATCTGGGGCTGAATGGGATGTATTTCAAGCCACTGCCAAATGTCTTTCCACTTCCGAACTTCGGGAGGGGCATTAAATTGAGCTCTGAATGTAAGAATAAGGGTTTCCTTAAGTTCCATATCATCCATCAGTCCCTGGTGAGCAGGTTTCGCGGGAGCAGCCCGGCTTCCTACTCCTGGCAGTATTTGCTGCTGCTGCGCAGCGTCCTGCACCTGTTGGCTGATTGGATCCCCCAACTGCGGCTTGGACAGGAACCCTCCCTCCATCTCAGGCAGCTGCATCGCCTGGGGTGCCTGCTGGACTGCAGCGGGCGTTGACGCAGACGATGGGGAAGGCGCGGATGCTACTGAGCTTTTGTAGTCCGATGTTTCTTGAGGACTCTGCTGAGAAACTGTGGTTAGTATAGGAGCTTGATTGCTTGCACCATACTGTATTTCTTGGCGACTTTGCTTGGCATTTGTTGACGACGTCGCAGGCGCTTGACTCTCCTGGCCCAGTCTCCGAAAAATCTGCTGAGGAATCGATGGTGATGGGGGTGAGGGATGGCATCTTCCCTGGTGGTATTTGAGTTGCCTTAGAGAGGTAAACCCAACATCATTGTAGAAGCAGTCTTGTTCGAAGCATCGCAGTTTCTCTTGGTGGCTCGTTGAGTGATCTTTCAGTTGTGAGACTGAGGAGCATCCGATTACAGCTTTGTCGCATCCATAAATGGGACACACGAATGCGGACGGGCCGTATTCTTCTTTATATGCGATAAAATCCTGAGCTGAAAGCCCCGGACAATTGGCCTCTCTTAATAGGTCGACAACATAAGTGTGATACTTTGTTCTGACGGACGATAGTAATGTTGTATCCCCGGGAGAGGGCATATTCTCTGCACAATTAGAATCATCAATTAGCATATCTGCGTTATGTCAAAGGTAGTAACACAGAAGAATCAAATTGTACACGTACCAACCGACTCCTTTGTTGCTTTGCGGAGTTCGAGGGCTTCCTGAATTAGTGCTCTCGTTGAGGGGAGGCTTTCGAACCAATGCAAACGAGAATCGGGGCTTTCCGCATTGGAGGTTCGCGTGGACTCTTCTCCCACCAGGTCGATCCAATTTCTAGCAAGCGCCTTGAGTTGTCCTTGTATTCTCGAAGAATCGGGTGTGCAGAACCCTTGACTGAGCTCAAGGTACTCCAGTAGGTGCTCAATCCAGTATTCATCAGCGTAGGGAAGGAGTCCGTAGAAACCCTGTGCAACACAATAAAGATGCTGCTGGAGTTCCAAGGCTTCGTCGGCCAGAGCCGAGCTCTGTGTCAACTGCGCAATACAGGCAGTTGTGATATCTCGGCAAGAATCTTCCTTGTTGATGAACGGCCCACTGGATTGGGCTTGGAGAAATCTCGCATGAGACGTCAACCAATCTGAGGGTGTGGAAGCAGGTTACTTGGGACACTTACTTGGGTACTGTGGCGTGGATGAATACCATGGTTGCACCCGGACCGTCCTCTATGAATGGTTTGCAAAGATCCAAAACGTTCGGAAACGGTTTCGTTCTCTCATTGATTATGGTCGAATCGGCATGGAGCACTCGACCGAGTCGTAGTTCAAATTTCCTCATCGGCTGGCCGCCCTTCGAAAACACCATCCAGCCAAATATTCGTCGTAACTTCGACACATCTGTTACCTGACAACGGCTCATGATACTTGTGAGAATCTTCGAGTACCTGGTTATAATCAGCTACGATACGAAAGATCGGGGAGAGTATAGAGATTACGCCTCTTCAAGGTCTTTGGGAAAGGCCTCGGCGCTCGATATAAGCTCTTGAATATTGTCAGTTGTCTCCAACACCTGTAATATTAGGTGAACCCATAGGAACATTCCTACGCTTCCGTCAGCCCTTCCAATTCTTTTCGTGTTAAAAGGGAATCCCCATACCTTCTGCTCTTTTGAGGATTGTTTCCCGAATTTCAGTGAACACCGATTCGGGGACTCGACCATCTAGCCCTTCATTGATGGCTTCCAGGCGGCTTGAGACAATCAAGCCAATATCCTTACAAACAGACGCAGACTGCTTCCCAACTATCAGTGTTGGTCTGCCCTTCAGTTTCCTCGCTATGCTCGGTATATCCTGGCTAGATATGAGCAACCTGAAGTTTCCCTGCGTCTCTGCCAGCTTTGCCAGGGTCTTGATCAGTTCTCCATGTTCCGATGACCCAATCTCATCGATTCCATCGATGATCAGGCGCAAGTCTTCGAAGAACCCAAAAAGTTTTGGGACAAACTCTTTGAGAAATGATGTTGAAGGTGTTTTTCCAGAAACGACACACTCTTTGTACATGGACGATGCCGTCTCCGGAACAAGGTCTAGGATCTGGGCACATATGCTCCGTAAGACCTGTACGGTTACCCCGTAACCTGTAGTATGAAAATCGCAGAAGAAGAATAAGCAATTCCAGTTGGGGCTTGATCTGAGGAAATAGATGAGTTACGAACACAGGACAGATTTGCCTTCTAATATCAGTCGATATCTCTGAATTGAACTGGACGCAGCTTACCAGAACCGGGCTTTCCATGAAGCCACAAGACCGGCTTTCCTCTACCTTTCTGGAGCCATGATCGAACTTGGGGTGACCCAGTCAACCATTGAGATGTTCCATCGAGACAACGGTTGTGAAGGCGTTCGAGCTTTTCTTCGTTTCTGTCGCTCACTTGAAGCCACTTGTTGACAGCTTCGCGCTGGTGGATCTCTTCTTTCTTTTCTCGGTCTTGAGCCTCCTCCAAAAGCTTTTGCCGCAATTCTCTAGCTTGAACTATCTCATAGGAAGCTGCCTCCCTATCTATGAGTTCGCTGGTTTTGGCGATGCTGTCAAGTAATGAATCATACCGATGCTGGAATCGACCCCAACAGGTCGAGAAGAGCATTGCCCACCCTAAAAAGCCAATGAGCATGAATTGCGAAAGTGGCACTTTTATTCAAGAAAAACTTACCCGGCTTCTGTACCAGACGGTAAGCATGGCAGTGAAAGTCGATAATGTCCTCGTAAATGTGGCCCAGCAGTTGCTGGAAGTCGTGGCTGTCTGGGAACGCATTGCCGTACCGAGAGAAACGCGGAAGTGAGGCCCCAATCCGACTATAAGCAGAGAGAATCTCATCCAATGCATGCGTGTGGTCTTGAGATATCTAAGCGAACCGGCACTCTTAGTATTACAAGACCCTAATCAAGCGGTAGATGCGAGTCAACTCACTTGGAGAATGAGCTTGAGAGGTGCCTAGATAGATGATATTGATGATCAGATCGTCCCTCTTGGAAGTTTTTCTCAGTGGAGGAACTCACCCATATGTAAGGCAGGAACGGAACGCCATTAGATAGGACGTCGATGGGTTTTGTCAAACGATCAGCTGCGTCGAGAAAAGGTACGAGCCGTTCGAAGTTTCGTAACTTTTGACGGGAGGCGAGATAGCGCTCCATTTGAGTGATAGCCTCGCGAACATCTTCCACACTCTTGACATTTTCCACTCGCCGCGTCTCTTCGTCCGACAAGTGTGACCGGAAGCGCTCACATGCTCTTTGGAGCTGCAGAAGAGCCATGTTGAATTATCCAAACCATTTGCGCCGAGAGTTCCGGTGTGCTGTTGTGCTAGAAATTGGGCACGCTTGGGTACTTAATATGTTGCTGTAGGATAGCTAAGACCGTGTTTGCGAATGCCTTGCAAAGCCACTGTTTCCTGAGTTGAAGTGGCGCAATGCAGTCACGATTATTGGCATAGATTAGGTGCCAATCAGCCAATGCATCGACACCAACCACTCCAATGTGCAGCGATCCTGCATGCACTGCCCAGCGTGTTGTCACACGAGGCTGACACCCTATTGTTTTATGTGAAGCGGTAAGGCGGCGGTAAGCCTAGCCTGCCTGCAACGTTCAATTCAGCAGTGTTGCCAGTACCCTATAAGAGCCATCTACCTTGATACCGCCCATCAATTGCCAGTCTAACGCTTCGAGGCACATAGCATCCCGTAACTACCAATCTGGGAGACAGTCGTATCACATCAACTGCTCTCTGGACCTCCTCAATGTCGTCGGATACTCATCATGGCGTAAAGCGAAGGCGAGTAGACGGGAACTTGATAGCATCCGGGTCAGTTCCTGTTGCATACCAAGCTTCTGCCTCGGGAGATGAGAATCAGATGACCAGGAAGAAGCTACCAGTGCCTACCAACAATTTTTCTGTTGAAGAATATTCGCAGGTTAACTCTGAGTGGTTCGCTTGCGAATTCCAAGATCTTCAGGTGCCCAATTTCGAGGACCAAGTTATTTGTTTTGGAATGGTATGTTTATAAAGCTTCACTGAAACCTAGGTTCTCCAAGACTAATCAAAGAAGCTCACGTCATTGACCGCACAATGGATGACCGACGTTGAGAAGACCCCAGTAACGAACGTTCATCTAATTCTAGACAACGAATGGCAACTGGTTTCTTCAACAAACCCAGAATTCCGCGCGACTTTGGGCTCACACGGTCGTGAGTTGCTTGAGTTGTTTCACCGCGAAGGCATCAGCATTGATATTCTCGGGCTGCAAGCTGAGCAAGAGGTTGTAGATGATTATAGCATATCACTATGGATAACATTATACGGATCACGGGAAATAGCCCAGGGAGTTGGTAGTACGCTGCAAGAAGCCGAGCTTTATCTACAGGATCCAGCTTTCTCTCTAACAGATGTCGAATACTTCAACCCGCAACGCTTCACTAATACGGCGGGAAGTCGAACGACCGACTTTCGAACTGTCTTTCCAGATGATGACGAAGTCTCAGCTAGCATGGATGAGGCGCTGGTGGCCATAGACGTGTTGAAGAGCGTTACTTCAACAACTGTGCGACGTGAGACGAGCGGTTCATATCTTCTTCGGACAGAGCTGCAAAGGTGAGAACGAATACGTCTCAACCACGGAATGGAGAAATGCTCATAACAACTGAAATAAGTCACCAGAAGCAAGGCTTGACGTTTATGCTTGAACGAGAACGTGGCTGGCGATTACATGAGCCTAATGGGGACGTGTGGTCTCAGCATGTTGACGAGTTTGGGCGAACAACGTAAGACTGCTTTCTATGATTCATTGACCTTAAGCTTACTTTCAGTTATATTAATAATGTCAACTCGTCGTTTCGTTGCACACCCCCTGTTCCTTTCAAAGGCGGGATTCTTGCCGATTTCATGGGTCTCGGCAAGACACTCAGTATGATATCACTGATTGCCCATGATAAGCTCTGGGAGAGTGGATCGCAATCCGTGAGACAGGAACCGAATTCGCTAGGTTCTGGTGGCGCCCTTATTATAGTGCCTCTCTCACGTATGTCATTGAACATGTAGAGTCCTGCTTGAACAGAACTAACCAATTTATGCTTAAGTTCTCGACAACTGGGAAAAGGAATTAACCAAGTACGTGATCTTACGGACCGAGAGCTTCGTGTATGTGATCGAGTAACAAATTTCCTAGACACCTTCTTGAGGGTCACTTCAACTGGCGTCGTCATCACGCGAAAACCCAACTGAAAGATGTGTGCCACTTGAGCACGAGTGACATCATCCTCACGACGTACACGACACTTGCGAAGGAGTGGAAAATTCATATGCAGACCAATGAGAGTCCAATTTTTTCACATGAGTGGCATCGAATCATCTTGGATGAAGGTATGTACCCTCAATTATCGTGATCAACCTGCAGGCTGAATTATCAACACAGCACATGAGATCAAGGACCTCAGGACAGCAAAAGCTCAAGCCATATGTGAGCTGAGAGGTGAATGCAAGTGGGTGGTTACCGGAACACCAATTCAGAACCGACTTTCTGAGCTCCACAGCTTATTTCACTTCCTTGGGTTGCATCCGTATGATGATAAGAAAGCCTTTGACAGGGACATAACGAACCCCTGGCTTCGCGGGGAAGAGACTGGTCCGGCAGCGCTGAAGAAAATTCTCGGCTACGTTATGCTGAGACGTTCGCAAGACACGATAACCTTACCAGAACGACAGGATCACCGGCGGCACCTTTATCTGAGCTCCCAGGAGCAACGTTTGTACGACGCCGTCAAGATCAAGACCATTGAGTTTATCGACAACGCGCTGGCATCTCACAGAGGGGAAGATAGCTACAGTAATGCATTGGAGAAAATTAATGCTCTGAGGCTTGTCTGCGAGCTGGGATGTTTTCAGAAGCCTACATCTTCCACGAGACTATTGCCTAGAACACCAGATCGACAGTCAACTCCACTTACACCCGGAAGAGAAAGAGAGGAGGACGAAGATGTCCAGAATGGCAGCATTGCCGAAGCGATCGACAACTTCTGTCCGCCTTTACCTAACCTTGAGTCTAACTGGACCCAAGAACCAAGCGGTATGCTCTGTGGTTCCATGCCCATAGATCAATGGCCGACCAAGATCAAAGCCCTTGTCAACGATATCAAATGCTGCGTTCTGGGAACCAAAAGGTAGCATCAAGGCCTGCCTCGCCCTAGATCACGTAACTGACGGAGTCCAGCATCGTATTTTCCTACCGGACATCCATCCTCGATGTCGCAGAACTAGCTCTCAACGACGCTGGAATCTGCTGCGCCAAGATCGATGGCAAAAAAAGCTTAAGAAAGAGGAGTCGTATCATTGACGAATTCTCAAAGGCGGACGGGCCGTCCGTACTTTTGTTGTCCTTAGGTTGCGGCGCTGTCGGGTATGTCCAGCCCATTCACTAGCGCTAAGTTGTGTCACTATCACGCAAGATGTCATGAACTCTGATGTCTTCTAAATAGGTTGACGCTCACTGCTGCTTCGAGAGCCTATCTGCTTGAACCACAATGGAACCCGTCTATTGAGGAGCAGGCACTGGCGAGGATACATAGAATAGGGCAGACTCAAGAGGTCACAACCATTCGATTTGTGATAAGCAATTCCATCGAACAGGTAAGCAGAGTTAAATATTGAATGCTGGTGAAGAAGATTACTGACAGCCATTGTCATAGTATGTCTTGGATATCCAGAACGGGAAGCGTGACCTCATGAGTCTCCTGAGCTCAAAGCCTGCGACAAGTCAACAACTGACAGCCAAACTACAGGTAAATCGAACGCTACCTTTCTACGCATAATGTGCCATCTAACGGTTTTCAAAGCAATTGCGTCAGCTTCTAAGATAGGCGATAAACCAAAGATGCGGGAAGCACATCGTGGCCTCCTACGGAGGGCATCTACGCTTGTCATCAACGGTTCAATTCCAGGCTGGTAATCAGAGTAGAACGAACCGGGATAGATGCTGAAGTAGATACAGAAAAGAAACAAATCATGATGCAACCAGAACAGCTCATCATTACAGGCAGTGCCTTGGTTTGAAGGAGGCGACTTCTCTCTCAGATGGCGTAATCCCCTCAAACATTTCTAACTATGAGAGACAAAGAAAAAGCAAAAAAAGAAACAGGGGAGGGAGGGGGGATACTGACCTTATAATTCACGCCCCTATTCGGATTCGAACAGCGCGCCCCTCGGACCAGCACGGCTTCATCGGAGTATTTCATATAACACGACTCTGCGTCAGAGTCGAAACCACCCGGCCATTTGGCCCGGTGGGTGCTGGTGACAGGAACTGTGATTAGACTCCTTAAGTAGCTCGGTACGTCAACTGGACAACCATTACTGGGGAAGGAGGGAAGTAGAGGTGGGAAGGTGTGCCTTCCTAACGGGGCAGGGGCGGAGGCTTTGGGATGGGAGGGACTCGCTTGACCGCACCTGGGAGGTATACGGTTCTAAGCAAGATGCCTAATCCCCAAGGTAAGTTAGATGGCTTCCCCTTGGCTTCGAGTGATTCATCTGGTGACGTGAAGTAGACGTGCTATACTTGGAAAGACGGGAGTCAACGAGATCTAGCCCACACGAAGCTTGCAGATGGCGTCGACGTTGGCATGCCTGACCCCTCTTGACATCTACACTTGCTAATTTGACAGTCTTTTCTTACTTTACCAGTTTCACTAAGTGGGAAGAACCGTATTGACGAGGAATGAAAGTGAACCGAGGTCTATAAAACCAGTGAGTCTTGTGACGTGACAATTATAGCTGCCGATATTTCTGTTTCTTGTCTGGCAATCCATATGTCTAGCAGACTATGGTAGTCAATCAAGTCTTAGGGATTGATCATTTCTTCTTTATTTTAGCACACCAAAGCTTGTATTCCCAAGCTACTTGTTTGTATGAGCCTTGTCTCTAACCTACCATGTAGAAGCAGACGACCTGGTAGGTAGGGACGATGAAGACATGGCCACGTAAAATAAATACGTAACTTGAAAGCCCTCAGAATTGTCAGGCAGGAAGGTACCTCGGAATCTGACGGGCTGGAAGACCCGTCAGAGGCAAGGAAAATGTCGCATATGGCGACCTGCGTGCCTCTGACCCGCTCCTTCCAGGCCTCCGCCTTCCTGCCTCCCGTCACTTGCCAGAGGTCATGTGCCGATCCCCACTCCTTCCTATGTTCGCGATATCAGATGAATAAACGATGGAATACACACAGAAAGAAACCCATATAGAACCCCTCGATCCCATTCCTGTCACCAGCCAGCAGGCGCCCCCTTGGGGGTCAGGTCAAAACTGGCTGGGTGGTGGAGTGGTTGAAGTCCACGAACAGCCTAATCGGTGAAGGCTCAGAGGTCCCGAGTTCGAGTCGACTAAAAATCCCAGCATGTGCACCAAGAGATGTAGCCCCCGTTCGCCACCGGGGGGGTGAACTCTTTTGCTTTTTTTGGTTTGTCGGTCTAAACGCGCGTGTTATGTATGCCATTAAACCGGAACATCGACAGACCTGGCAGTTGATCAACCTGGAATTCTGAGTCCGCTTTGAGGCCAAGGCTACAGAGTATATCCCCTTGTTGTCTGAACCTAGACAATACAAGTCGACGAATCGACAAGTAGTAATAGAGGGAGCCACTCGTGCTCTTCGCGGTGACGAGGAGACTCCTCGTCACATGACTTACTTCGATAGATATACTACTGGCTAGCTATCAATTGCTGCAAAACACTTCCCGGTTGACGAGCTACGGAGAAGGATGCTGCTGGTGCCGCAAAAGCATCAGCCAGGCAATATTTCTCTCTTTTAGTCTCTAGACGCCATTCGGTCCTTCAGACGCTTCGGCTAAAGATATTAAGGCCACACTACGAATGATAACACGAGAAAGGCGTGGGCGCAATTACGGTACTACTAAAGCAGGAATGTACTGCTATTGGACACCATAGCCTTTACATACTGGCCCCGAAGAGTACATAACCATGTACCCAGGGGCTCAGGCGGGGGTCTTCACTACTCCAAACTACCGTCTCCAGCCGTGATCTTTTTCTGGGCGCATTCAGTCAATATCGACTGATATGATATGCTATGGCCCAGTGCATGAACGCGATAGCAGGTGGTCACTAGGTGGGTCTGGAGCGGAACAGACTCCGGAAGAGCTTACGGCATACGCAAAGGGAAATGGCATCGCCGGCAATAGTCCGTGAGTTTCAAAGATGGACACCAGAATTCACGAATTTGGCATGTCGAGGTGTAGCTTTCTGATCATTGAAGAAAGTTCAGGGTCCAAGAGTCTGCCCAGTGCTTAGGTTGAACTCTGTAGATAACCTCTGGCTCGTAGTTCAGTGCGCCAGGAAGGTTGGACTGATCTTAGTCCAACAGCGTGTTTCGAATGGAGGATTTCCGTGTCTCCGTGGCTATCTTTATGGTCCATTGGGGCGCTGGACTTGGACGTGAGCCATGAGTTGTAAGCAGATGCTGCTTATCAGACTGCTTGCCTTCTCCACCGCCAGGCCGGAGCTACTTAACCGGATTTCGGAGTGCCGAGGACTTACTATATCGGGGACATGAGAGGGTTGAGCAAGATATGCCGCGGCGGGCGAGAGCGTCGAGATGCAGCGACCATCATGTGGACAGGTGACTTGGAGGTCTATACAAGGCCTTTAATATGGAATCAGAAAGACGGCTTCCAGAATACCAGAGACCCCGGACCCGGCTGTCACACCATCTAGACGACAGGTCGAAACACAAGATCCAGAGTTACACCAGGAAGATCCTTTAGATTGAGGAACATGTCAGACCACTGGTCCACAGACGAGAACGGCGGGGAGTAACATCATCGGTTCGTTAGACCACGTCAGATTCACAGCGCTTATAGCAGCCGGCATGTTAATGTTGGAGAAGCCGCGGGTAGTGAAAGGCGACCAGTCAATGACGTAAAAGAGAGTTCTCTGCTCTGCTGCGGCAGAGGGCGCAGGGCGGTCATGACAAAGCGAACGGGTGGATGCCGGAAGTGTCGGACATTGGTTTCTGGAGGCGGCAGCGTCGAGGTCCGGTGGGCGGCCATCCGAGTCTGCTGGAGTCTGGTTCGGAGCCGGGTATCACGACATAAAGTAAAGACTTTCGAAGAAGAGTTGACTCTGGGCAAATGTTTCGCTCAAGAGACGAAGGCGGCGGACCCTGAGAACGGTTCTGTTGGGAAAAAAAGGCCTGGGTCGTTCGAGACAGGAGCCAGTTCCGGTACAGAGACGTAACAGGTTGATTGGGCGGCTGGGCAACAAGCATTTCGAGGGGTCGCGATCTCGATCGAGGAGTGGTCCAACGGGCGTCGAACTCTTGTTACGGCATCGGATGGTAAAAGCGGTCGTTGACGTGCATGGACGAGGGCGGTAAAAGATGGGTTCGTGGGCTCTAGTGCCGGCGGTGGAGGTGAACAAGTGGTTTGTTGTTGGCGGTAATAGTTGGACAAAGCTAGGATTGGGGTTCCTTGGATTCGGGATCCGGATAGGGCGTCCAGTTTGTTCGATAGGTGCCGTGTACTGCCTACCTAGTAGACTACGGATAGTAAGAAGCAGTTGCTGGAAACTTGGGAACAAGCACACTCAAAAAACGAGGCAAACGAGGGACGAAGAAGCTCGGACAGACGCATGGCCCTGGAGTTGGTGCTAGGCGAGTCAGATTGCGTGGAGAGAGCGGGATGACATACGACGTGGCAGGTTTGGATTTCTTGCTTGCCGGCAAGGGAGACTGGGTTTCCCTTTCCTCGACGTCAAACGTGCAGGCTCATTCGCTGTTGAGTTGTCGGGCATCTGCGACGGCTTGGCCTATCACGACGAACCTCGTTTGCGGTTGCGTGGTTGACTTTTCCCACAGCCACCTGATCTTGGTTGTAAAAGTAATAAGGCAGTCAGGTATTGACTGACTGGCGTGGCTCACTAAGAAGCCAGCAACCAGGACGACAGGCAGCATGTGGTGTGCACCGTTGACGCTCCTCTGCTCCCGCGTCTAAGATGAAGCTAAGGAAGGTATCCGTGACACTTGCCTGCCTTCATCTTAGTTGTTCTATTCTAGCGAAATGTCACTTACATGAACGTCTATCCGTCCCTTCCTTTCCGTATGCGCGGTATTAGTGAGTTGCAAGTGGGAAGAAGGTAGGCAGGTAGGTACCCTTACTTGACCTTTCCTGACCAGGCTTGCAGACCCGCGACCATCCATCCGGCCAGTGACGGACATCTCCCCCACCGCGGTACCTTCCATCTTTCTAGGGCGATAGAATGTATACTAAGGCAGGTTGGTAATTACCTTGGGTAGATCCCATCACGGAGGAGAAATGTGAAGCAAGGAACCAGCGACCTGCAGGAGATGAAAACTAGCGAGACATGTCCGCAGCAACTGGAGCAACTGCAGCCCTGCGTTGGAAAAGAAAAGAAAGAAAAATTCAATGGCATTGGATCTAAAAACGCCGCAGCTGTCGTGTCCTGGTGTCCATCGCCGCTCCGTTGCATCGCATCAGTCAATGTGCCGTACTGCCCCGTCCACTCACTTTGGTTCCTCCCGTTCCCGGCTGCCCGCTCGCTCACTCTCACACGCATCACTCACTCACCACTTTACCGCACAGCACTCACTCACCACGCACCACACCTCTCACACTCACCCTCCACCACTCATTCACTCTCTCCCTCACTGCCCCCGAAACCCAGAAACCCAAAAACCAAAGGAGACCCGCCGCCGCCCGGACTCACTCCGTCATCTCATGCTTCTGCGACACGTGAACCACCACCTCGACCTGCAGTGAGCGCCACGGCTGGACAACCACCATCTTTTTGCTCCCAACTTTGACTTGCCCGATAATTTGTGGTTTGCGGGCGGACCGCTGCGAGGACGACCGTGAGCAACAAGCTACCTTACGGGGCACAACGGCTATTTTCCAGCTTTGCATAGCGCTGCGCCCACCTCGACTTGTTGCGGCACCTCGACTTGAGATGCTTCGCTGATCTCTTTCAGATTGCCTCACAGACATTCACCACACAGACCTTGGACCCAACCTCCGACGAAGACGTCCTGTTCCCACGGATACCGATCTTGATAAATCGCTCTAGATCGCCGCGCTTCCGAAAAAAGGATGCTTCAACTGCTGCTCTAATCGCCAAAGGACTATATCTTTAACCACCAACATCTCTACGCCTGAATAGTACTATAGCCGATGCTGAGCACTTCAAGCTGTCTGCGACAGGCGCATTCCTCGTGACGCGCATGGTGCGCAGCCACGCAGACTGACGACTTCACTTGCGCCCATTCCCGCCCGGGCCTCAAAACCTAACAAACATTGTTTGTTTATCACTTTACAATTACTTCCTCAAGCGCATGACACGGCCTCGAGGTCGCCCACACATAATTCGTTAATGAGACAATGGCCGACGTTAAAGAGGAGAGAGATCGAGAGGGCCGCAGCGAGAAGAAGAGCTTCTGGGGCAGCATCTTTCGCAACAGGAGCCTGGTAAAGAAAGGGAGACTGGTTCGACAACCCAAACACTTTGCGCCGTGACAAACACACGCGCTGCATTTCGGTACTTTTTGACTGACAAAAACTGCAGGAGAATCCAGAATCGCGTAGGGCGAGCGATGGAGATGTAGTCCCGCGCAGACGCAAGTCATTACCAGACATGCCAAAGGCCTCGAGAACAGTCGAGTCTCCCAACGGCCACCCAAATCTTCACCCAGACCACCCTCGTTCGCGCAGACGACCTAGAAGGCCTGATCCCGCAAGAGCCAAAGGAAAAGGTCGCGCGCATCCCAATGGCATCATCCTCGAGCAGGGACCACTAACAGAATGGCCGCCCTCCGGCATGTCAAGTCAAGAGGAGCTCACCCTTGGCCATGCCATGGAACTCGTCTCCCGCGGCGCCCCGGCCCACAAAGGCCACAAGCGTCCTGTACCCCATGCATCCGATCATTATTACGCCCTCTACACCACATCCGCCGGCAACGATGCCGAAGAAACGGATGTCGTCAATTTGCACGACCACATGACCCAACTGATGACCCTTCGTATGCAGGGTGGCGGTTCAGCGATATATCCGTGGGAGTCCTTGGAACAGCCGAGCTTCGCCTACTTTTACGGTCAACAGCCCGGCACCATCACCTTGAACCAATGGGCTTGTCTGGCTAGCATCAAGCCTCCAACGATCGGTTTGAGAGACTCTGGCGCAACGGCACGAGAGGTCGGCTTGGATCGTATCTTTGAGCGTCTGAAGGAGCTGGAGGCGGGGTTGGAAGACGATGACGAAGAGTGGATGTACAAAAGCTTATATCGCCGCTTCCTCCGCGACCCCGACAAGATGATGAGCCCGCACAAGGGACTCGACAAGCAGATTACGGATCTGATCATGGTCTTGTCACGTCCGGACTGGATCGACTTTACGAACCCCAAGAATCAAGTTGTCACTCGCTTCATTTTCGACCCAAGCCACGGAAGCCAACAGCAGTATATCAAGTTTTGCCACCAACTCGTTCTCAGCATGGAACTTGATCTACGGATTAATTCGAGATTGCATGGGGAATGGGCCAAGGAGAAGCTACTGCCTCAATTACCGCCCACCATCCAGTGGGATCTTGCGCTCGCCAGACGCTGGCGGGAACATGTAAGGGTTGAGGGTTATGGGAAGTCGGTTGAAGATAGTAAGCTGTCTACGTGTGCCTATCTCTCTTGGCCAGATCTAACTTGCGACAGTCAACCTACGCTTCAGACTGAAGAAGCGCCAGATCAAGATGCTACGGCGCTTTGCTCAGATGATGAAGTGGCCAAACCTGAGCCAGACCCTTGATAAAATGAAGCAGAGGGACATGGACGCAACTTTGGACATTATCAGCTCCGATGCGTTGGCATTCTTTAGCGGTCTTGTACTGCCAGGCGTAAGTTCCGCTCACTGACAACGAAGGGTTTCCTCGCGCACCTGCTAACAAGCAAAGACAACGTTTCCATTCCTCATCATGAACACCCTCATCGACATTGACCCCGACAAGGCAACCGACTCCTTGGCCATGATGACGCACCTACATCCTCACTGTGGGTTTCAATATAGGAATAGTTACACCTACTGGACAGCTGCTTCGATTGTCGGAAAGGTCCTTGCCCCGACTTGTAGATCATTGGCAGGTTGGGTCGGGCCAGCCCGTCCGACCGCCGATCTTGGCCGATCGCAAATCGCCCGCGTGCGCTCTCGGCGTCCACGACAGCGCATGACCCCCGAAGACGTACAGTCGATGAGCGAACGATCTGACCCTCTGGGTCCCCCGGCTGAGGTATTCCCGGTTAAGGAATACAAGCTCGTGGCTCCCGACGCAGACGACATTGTTGATACTGTCCGAATCGAGCTACTGAGCTTCAAGGCTGTCCCGGACCGTTTCCAGGAACCACCGCCAGCGCCGAAGGTTTTTGATGCGACGGTGCAATTCGCAGTGGATGGGGTGTCCTGGCCTATGCGCCTCACGTACGATGTGTCCTTTATCTCAGCCTGGCCGTGCTCAGGGGGTCCTCATCCACTGTTCTTCGACTACGTCTTCCAAACCGTCAAGGCCGATGAGATCATGAACATCAAGGATTGGGGTGGTCTGTATGGACAGTCTCCAAGTGCTCGTAGTTCGAGGACAAGCTCGACAGCAGGCCCCCACACAGCAAGCAGCCAGGATCAAATCGACGAAGAGCAGGTGTTGGTAGTGGAGGCCTTTGGAGTCAGGGACAACGAGGTTTTGGCACGGGCCTGGTGTTCACACTGGGGACTGAGTGCTGTGATTGCCGATATTCGCAAGACATGGTTGGTTTCTGGAGACCCTTTAGTTTTATGGAATCATTGCTAACATTGCCCAGCATGGCTTGTGCTATCCGCGAGGCATACGCGGCAACGTTAACGGTGGTGGTTTTGGTGGACGACCAGGAATACAATACGGACGACTAATGACATTGCATGGGGGCAGAGAGGTTTCTTTCCGTAATGATGAGGTTGACAGGATACGATACGAGGATGAGGCTGCAGACGACGACGACAACACGATAGCCATATCGGCTCGTGCTTTTTCTTTATTATGATTTTAGATACCACAGCGAGTCTTGTTTCTGCCAGGACACCGTCCTGGATGAGGGTTGGGGATGGTCAAAATATCGAGAGAGGGGAATGAGACGGTGTTTTCTTGCAATAGAACCATTTCAAGGCTCTGGCGAGAGAAGATTAGCAGCAGGACTGAGGAAATACCCAGGACAAGCTGCACTCTTGGGCGTTTCATGAATAGTTTCGCGGAGTCCCAAGACTTTTCTCCGCTCGAATAGACAAACCTACTGCTGGGTACTTCTCACCAACCCGGACTTAGTGATCGGTGTCTTCCCTCTTCAGTATGCCTCAAGATTCACCAAGCACAGCTTTCAACGCCGCCAAACTCTCCCTCCACATCTCAGCACCATCACCACCAGCCCAAGCCACCACCTTCTCCCCGCCCTCAAGGTCCTCCCTCATCCTCACCTCGTTCGTAGTCCCATCCAACACACTGACCCCCTCCAACCCAAGGACCAACCCATAAAACGCAACCTCGTCACTCACGCCCGCGCCCTTTGCAACCTGCCTCACAAACGAACTCCTCACCAACCTCGGATTCGCCGTCAACGTCCAAAACGACTGAAAGTTAATTCCCCTCTCGCGGCAGAAGACGCGGACGGGGGTATTGTACCCCTCATCAGGGTTCAGGCGGTTCTGCACGACGACGGGCTTGATGCGGGCGTCCTCGTCGCAGAGGCGCTGGAGGTCCGGCAGGTCGACGT